CAAAAGGGCAAAAAAAATTGTCAAAAATTTCAAAAGGGCACATCAAATTTTTTTAAAATTAAAAGGGCAAAATCGCTCCTGACGGAGCGATTTCCCTCTGACACAAAACGAAAAATCGCTGCCCTTTTGTAAAAAATAAAATAAAATTCTTTTTTAATTAAAAATCGCTGCCGTGGCAACGATTTTGTAAATATATTTTATTATTATTATTAAAATGGCTGCGATTTTAAGTCAGAATTTTTTTTCCTTACACAGCGCTGCGCGTTTTTCATACCTATTGTTAATTATTAATAATATAAAAATGATAAACAAGACGGACAGTATACTCAATAAAATTGTTGAAGCATGAGGAAAATTGAGTATACTATCCGTCTTGTTTATTATTTTTATATTATTAATAATTAACAATAGGCATGAAAATAATAGCACTAGGCATGAAAAATGCTGCACCGATGTGTAAGAAAAAAAAAAATTCTGACTTAAAATCGCAGCCATTTTAATTCGTTTTGTGATCAGAGGGAAAATCGCTCCAGGAGCGATTTTGCCCTTTTGGTTTTAAAAAATTTTGATGTGCCCTTTTGGAATTTTTGACAATTTTTTCTGCCCTTTAGGCTCCGGACTCCAGAAAATAAGTAGGCGTTTGGCCATGCGATATCATATCACGATATGAAATCGTGAGATGGAATCTACGTTTGGACATGTGATTTCACGCTGATTTCATCTAATGATTTCATATCATGAGATGAAATTTCATATTCTCCAAAAATCATGATTTGAGAATTCCATATCATGATATTCTCAAATCATGATTTGAGATTTTTTAAATACAAAAATTGATCCACAAGTAGAGCCGTCAATATGGTAGTCCCGTTGGACCGGTCTGGCCTAATCTGTGATTTGATAGGGATGGACTACGATTTTTAGTGCCCATTTAAGAAAAAAACTTTTTAGCCCGGCCTGAATAAGCTTGCCGATTTGTGAGGCTTGAGAAGTATGGATAGGGCCAGCCCGTGGGCCAAATAAAAATAAAATAGAGTATTAAAAATAACAAGAGTCTAAACTCAAAAGCTATTTAAAGTTTGAAATTTAAATACAAATTATGTTTATAAATTATGTACTACATAAAAAAATTCCCTAGAATTTCTAGGGAATCACTACATAGGCCATAGCCTATGGAATATTGTTATAGTTTTTGTGTTTTATTATGATCATTGGAAAACAATTAAATTAATATTTCTATTTAGCTATTTATGCTTTTAGTTGAAATCAAACTTAATAAATATTAAAAAGATAATTTTATTTGTGTATTTGATTAACAAATAGTAACACTAATACTATATAATATTGTCTTGTCGATATTTATGATAATATTTTAAAATTATAATTTAGTTTAAAAAATTATAAAAAAATATACTTTTAAGAAAAAAGGGTTGACCCGGCAAAGCCCGTAGCCCAAGTACTTGTGGGAAATTTATAAGTGACCTATGAATATCTGTTGTAAAAAGGCCACAATTTATAAGTGACCTATGAAATCAATTCTCTCGAAAATTAAGAATGACTCAAATTATTGTATTTGGTTGGGGAATTAATACTATTTTCGGCATTAGAATGTGAATGTGTTTTCATTGGAAAATTTAATGAAAGGATGGAACTAGGCAGAAATTCAACTTATTTGCGACCTAACTAATATTGAATAGTAGGGAAGGGAACGAACAAAAATATCTGTTTCATTGCTTGCAAAGGAGTTGAAGGGGGAAAAAGATAGATAGTACTCCCTCCGTTTCACAAAGAATGACCTCCTTTCCTTTTTAGTCAGTTTCAAAAAGAATGACTTCTTTCCTTTTTTTGTAACATTTTACTTTTTGCTTTCCACGTGGCATGTTTAAGACCACAAGATTAAGGACAATTTTGTACATTTGACATAACTTTAATTTAGGACCACAAGATTCAAAAGTCTTCTTTATTTACTTAAACTCCGTGCCAAGTCAAACCAGGTCATTCTTTGTGAAACGGAGGGAGTACTATCTATCTTTTTCCCCCTTCAACTCCTTTGCAAGCAATGAAACAGATATTTTTGTTCGTTCCCTTCCCTACTATTCAATATTAGTTAGGTCGCAAATAAGTTGAATTTCTGCCTAGTTCCATCCTTTCATTAAATTTTCCAATGAATCTTTGATTGGTTTAATTATATTTGATGGGAAGAAAATGCGGAGATAATAAGGTTTTAAAATCATGAGAGAGGAAAGAGAAAGAATTTAGTCTTTTGAAAACAACCGTTGAAATAAAATAAGAGTAGTTTTTATACTCATTGAGACTCATTTTGACGAATATTCAAAGTTAAATGACTAAATTAAATTAGATAAAGTTACTGATATAAAAAACTATACGAAAAATTGCAAAAAGACACTTTAGGGTAAAGGGAAAATAAGAGTAGTTTTTATTGGTAAAAGAAAATAACTAATTAATCACTAAATCAGTAAAAGTAGCGTACAATATAAATACTCATATAATAGATGGTAAGGCAAAAGCAAGAGTGAAACTAATCCATAATAGAGTCCGACCACAACGATGGAATTGATTATCTTCATCTATAAGGATACTAGATTACCTAGTAGAAAAGATTGAAAAATCATCACAAACCTCCCTTAGTTCTTTTTTATTGCAATTTCTGGATTATTATATGATGATTTTTGAACTTTCCATATATAGAAAAAGAAATAGAAAGAGATAGACTAAAAACGACATTTGTTATGTCAATGACACCAAAGGGATATTAAATGAATGGAATTGGGATATGGTTCCCTCTGAAATGAGGCACGTAAGGGAGCCACTACGAAGAAGTGCTTGCTTAGAAGCTCAATCATGAAGCCACTGCTTCATACTTGGATTACATAAGTGCTTTAAAATAAATTAGCCAGCAAGTTCAGGGAACTCTGTTCTCACAGATATAGGGCTTCTTACTCTGTGCACCCCGTCAGTCCAAGTTAAGCTCCCGAAATTATAACCTGTGTTGTATTTGTGAGTGGTTGAAATAGTAAGAGTGAAAGAGATTTTCTCGATGCTGGAGTTGAATATCAAAGTTTCAGGCATTACTTTAATGGTAATGCCCAGTGGAGGCTCGATGATAGCCTTATATTGAGAGTTCACTGGTTCAACATTGGTGACGGTTCTCTTAACAGTAACTGTTTTTTTGAGACTTGGTATTGTTAAAGAAGGAAGATTGAAATCAAGAATCGAAGGCATTTTGTTTGCACAAGTAACAAATCTGTTAGTGATGGCACTTGTGTTATAGCCCATAGGGCATAAATAATTAAAAACATAGTCAGACTCTCCCATATCATAAACTAGGCCAGGATCATTTGCGCCATTTGCATTCATGAGTCCACCACCGAAATCAAATGGTATCTGTATTTCCCTCAGCTATAATTGGTTCTCCAGAATGAGGGTCCGTTTGCCATGCTGCATGTACAATATGACAAGTTGATTAGAAGCACCAAAAGATAAACAAAGCAAATGGCAAATTAAACAAGATCTTGTAAAAGACCTGTTGTAACAAGTGCAGACTTGATAGCAGCTGGAGACCAATGTGGGTGCAAGGACTTAAGCAATGCGGCAATGCCAGAAATGTGAGGAGCTGCCATGGATGTTCCTGAATCAAACTCGTACGGAGTTTCTTCAGGAGGAACAGCAGCCAATATTGACTCCTGGAGCTGCTATATCCGGCTGCAACATTATCAAACATTAATTTAGAATGAATAATTCATATACTATTGCGTTTCTATTTACTAGATGTAGGCAATGCATAGTAAAGTCATACCTTAAGTATTGCAGGGGCAACAGAATTAGGACCTCGAGACGAGAAGGATGCGATATGAGTTGAAACAGGTATCCCAACATGAGTTTTTGGAGCACTCAACTTAACTTGTGGCTTCCTACATTATTTCTTAAACAGTGGTTTTAATCAGCTAATGAAGTAATTTAAGATTTCTCTACAGTAAAATGAAAAGAATCAGACATCTTCATTTACCTGGCATATCTTATGTAATCGAGTAGTTGAGCTCCAACATCAAAACTTACTCCAATACTTGGGAAATCAGAAGCGTAATAATCTAAGTATGAGGTTGGGTTCTTAGCAACAATCAATCCCAAGCCGCCAACCTCCTGTACTACTTGTTGTCTTGTTGAGTTGTTGATAGCAGAAAGTCATCCCCTTGAACGAGGAAGCAAAGCACCACATTTCCAGCCGCCCATGTATCACTTGCATTTAACTTGTCGCAGTAGCTTCAAAATCCATTAATTTGTGCCTTTTAGCTTGCATCAATCAAGTTTTATTAAAAGAAACTCCTTTAAAGAAATACACATTTAGCCCTCAAAAATGACATAAACAAAGAAAAAAAGGTCTGTTTGATTTGATTCCTTGTTGACGAATTATGTACAACATCTTATTAGGAACATACCATTTTCTTTCTGGATAAACAATGTTGATAAAATCAGTCTCCTTTCCAGTATACAGGGATTGACCCTACAGATAATTATAGCGTTATCAAAACAAATCTTTTTGGGTATTCATTGTTAAGTTATACGTAATTCATATACATTTATTTAATTAAGAGAACTTACAACGAAAGTTCGGTTGTTGCCTAATGTAATGAATGTGGGAAAGGACCTATCAATACTTGAAGCTGCTACAGTTATTATCCATGGTGATGTATCATCTACTGTTTGGGCAATTGGACCTTCATTTCCACCTGAACAAACAACTGTAATTCCCCTGTCGACAGCATGATAGGATGCAAAAGCAATGCCATTGCGCATATCAACATCAGCGTACTGAGGTGTGGTTAAGCCTATGGATATGGATAAAACATCAACTCCATCATTAATTGCTTCATCAATGCCCTTTATTATATCAGCAGAGTTACATACTCCACTGTCCCAACACACCTTGTACATAGCAATTCGAGCTTTGGGTGCACCACCCCTAACTGTCCCATAAGCAAGTCCATGGTAACTTGCATTTGGTGCAAAGGATCCAGCCGCGGTGCTTGATGTGTGTGTGCCGTGTCCATTTCCATCCCTTGGTGACGCGAACTCATTCTTAAGAAATGGCCTTCCAAGCTCTGCTTCAAAACCTTTTAGAAAGTATTTCGCTCCAATTAGTTTCTTATTGCATGCCTTAGCTGGATCAAAATCTGTACCAGACTGACAGTGGCCCTTCCATTTTGAAGGGATTGGCCCAAGGCCTTTGTCATTGAACGCTTCACTTTCTGGCCATATTCCTGTAGTTTGAGTGAGTAGTTATTTTATGTAAAGATATGGCACCTGGGCCTAACTCAACCCCAAAAGCTAGCTCATGAGGGGAGGTTTGTCCAAGTCCATATAAGGAGACCAAATTCCCATTCCTCTACCGATGTGGGACATCTTAACATTTTAGAGTTGTGAAAATATAACAACTGATCACCTTGTGCATCATTACGTACTTAAGACTGCAGCAATTATTCCTTCTAATAGAAATTCTTGCCTCTATGAATGCATTTATCAAAAAATTGTTTTTCCATTTGACCCACACAAAGAATCAGGAAAGGAAAGAGGAAAACCTGTATCAAGAACACCAATGATGACGCCATCTCCCATGTTGGCTTCATGAAGGAGGTTTGTTGGAGGAGAAAATGTGGACAGGCCAAGGTAATCCCAACTTCTTGTTGTGTGTAACTTGTACAAGTCATTTGGAATCACATGGACCACATCAGGTAACTCTGCAACAAATTCAATGAGGGGACAACATGGAAATATCACGCGATTCCAATTGAACTATAGCGTGCCCAATTTAACCAACAAGTATGTCATCTTCAAACTTTTTTTGAAGTCCTACTTTACCAGCTTGAGAGAGAGATTGCAAAGTACTACTACATTTTACCTGCAATCTTTTTGGCTTGAGATTTTGTTAACCTGGCTGCAAAGCCGGAGAAACCATGCTTATAACTATAGATGATTGAATCTCTTGCAGCTTCTGGACTGCATCAGGATAAAACATAAAGTTGTGAACTAAATAGTCTGCACATATTAGTTCGGAGAGAAGAGAAAACCAATTTGTTGATCTTTCCTCAGTTACCTTCCCAGTACTAAAGTAAGTATTTGATGGTGAGCTGATGTTATGAGTTCAATATCATCATGTTGCCTTCTTCCCATGTAAACTATATGAACCTATATTTAGCAATCATTACTCATACTCTTAGTATTACAGTGAAACGAAATAGTGAATTTTCCTGAGTTGTGTTCAATATGTAAACATAAAAGAAATTGCAGAATAGGTTGTTGTAATATCTACTCACTTTGCTTTCAGTATTTGCTTGAATTCCTAAGAAGTTCAAGAAAAGGAGTAGAACAGTAAAAACCAATTTATATTGAAGAAAGTGGCTGATACTCATTATGTGGTATATAGGACTAGTTAAACAGAGACATAATTGTTGCAGATTGATATCCATTATTTATAGATGGAAATCGTGCGATTTAGGATCTGATCATGATGTCTTCTTCTTGGTGTCATGATCCAAAAGATAGAGGCATCACGAAAAGTTAGCTTAATTATTCCGTGGCCAAGAACAAATGCTAAACAGCACCAAGCACAAAGGGGTTCTTTAGCATGTGGTAATATAATACATGCAATAAATTATAAGAGTAAGATGGGATTGGAGTATATGCTGATTATGAAACGCATTAAATAATGTTTGAAATGTAATCATGTTTGAATTATATATGGTGCTTATTAAACAGTGGAATCATTTCATTAATTAATTTTACGGAAAAGGCTCAAAAATACCCCTGAACTATAGGAAATAGCTCACATATACCCTTGAACTATATTCTGGCTCAAAAATACCCTTCCGTTAAAGTATTGGGTCACTTTTACCCTTACTATTAACAGAGATGTGTTAAGTGCCATGTGGACGCCACGTGGACGCCACAT